GAAGTATCAAAGCATTTTTTTACCTTTAGAAAAAATATCAATTTTATTTAATCAGTATCATTAAAATTTAAAATAGGCTTAAACCTTATTATATTGAAAATTTACATGCCTAGAAACTATAAGCACGTGTTTGACAATAAGTTTTTATGAATTCGACTAATGTTGAATGATTGCGTATTTGTGCCTGCGTGGTTTCTTCAATTTTTAAAGTTGGGTCTATACAGAACATTGACTGTTCAAAAAATTAGTCATTTGAATAGCGCAAATTAAAATTAGTTAAGTTATAGTTTTAAATAATTGATAACATTTAATTTATTAATTTCGATTTTTAGCAAGATTGAATTCTGTATTTGTATCACCTGTTTCCATAATATGAGTGCCGCTAAGGGAAAACCTGCAATCGGGCTTTCAATATTCAGTTTGTTTTCTGTGTGCCATCTAGGAATAGTCTATCATCAGGCTTTAAATTATATTTTGTCAAAATATAATTAAAGGCCGATAATAGACTATTCCTAGATGGCATACAGAAAACAAACTGAAGATTGAATGCCTGATTGCATATGAAATAATAATATGAAAAAAGTCAAATATTTACCTCAAATACTTCAGTAATCTCTTCTTGACTTGTCGGGGAATGGCATTTAAATTTATTGTTTTTTAATCTAAGCCGTGCAGTTTGATTTTTTAATATTTCTTGAATGCCCGTGATGCATTCTTTTAATTCTGATTCTAATTTATTGGATTCTTTAGCTTTTTCACGAATATCACCCAGTGTATTTACCATTCCAAATAAATTTTCGGATTCCGGACTCATTAAGTCACGCTTGAGTGCTACACCTTGAAGACCCAAATTTAAAGTACTCATGATTCGCTCTACGGGATTTGTCCAACTATGATTAGGAGCCGTACGAACTGCAACAAGCAGATCAAAATCTCCACAAAGAAAAAGACTTATTAATGCAATTTGTACTGAACCATAATTACAACGATGATCTGGACCCCCATCAGTGTAAAGACATAAAATCGGTGGCAATTCTTGATATACATATTGAAGTTTTAGTACATTTAAAAATTCAGTTGAATGTCTAATAGCAGTACTCGGTTCAAAAATCGTATCTTTGTACGATACATACACCTGACCATCATAAAATGATCCAGAAATATCATTAGGAATAGAAATAAAAAAAACTACTGATAGCATTAGAGATAGTTTTGAGAAATCATGATCAGCAGCAGCCAAAGTGCTTCCTTGTGCAACTATTGAGCATCGATTTCGCACACCTGTAGAAACTGCAACATCTTCTCCGATAGGAATCTTATGTTTATCATCCGCAGAAATTAAGCAAGCCCATTGACAGTACCGAATACAAAATTCTCTAAGATATCAGAAAAGTGCTGCGTAATAATGTGCGTCTTCACTACTTTTTTGAAGCATTCTCCCTTGCACTTTAAATTTTACTTTAAATCGACCAGTATAATACATTGCTCGGGTTGTAATAGCATTTGTAGGACAAAATTGAAGACGAATCCATTCGTCTGATAGAATATTAATATTGGAAGGTAATGGATTACTATAAATAGCCTCTAATCTTTCCACTATAGTTTCACGAAGATCACGAATTGACAAGGCCAATAGCATATATAGAATGGTTCCATGGCGTTGTTCGTTTACCGCAAGTAAGTTCTATTAAAATACTGTAGTTTAAAAAATAATAAAAATATACTAGTGATATGGGCTGGCCTGGTCGATTAATGGGTACGTATCACTTCGTAGAAGTTTATTTCACAGACACCTTGTTTTACAGACAATTAGTTCATATACAAGTTTATTTTAAAGACAATTAACTTACAGACAGTTCATTTTATAGACAGTTCATTTTATAGACAGTTAGGTTTATAGAAAATCTTTAATAGCAAATAACTTCTAAATCAGTGTTAAAGATTGTCTACAAAATAAAATGTCTATAAAATGAACTGTCTATGAAATGAACTGTCTGTAAATTAATTGTCTTTAAATAACTTGTCTATGAATTGATTGTCGGTGTAACAAGGTGTCTGTGAAATAAACTTCTACGAAGTGATGGGTACCCATTTAATATAGATATGAAGACTAAAAATTGTTCTAGCAATAGAAGTTGACCTGATTGATTAGCCTGAGTTTTTTTAGGATCGACCTTGACCATGATTTTTCCACTGGCCTGTATCACTAAAATATACATATATATAAATATAAAAACTTACTTGCTCATTAAAATAAGCTTCCATTTCATCCCAAAATGTATCAAATTTTGTTCCTTTAAATCCATTATTTGTCCGTAAATCGAATATAATATTGGGATCTGCCAATTCTAACATTAATCGTAATCTCTCTTCTACCTCACGACTAACTGCATCTGAAGTTACAGCTGCATTTCCAGTCAAATCAAAATGAAGCATCCGTAATACTGCTGGTGTAACTTTCTGAATATATGAATACTATTTTATAAAGAAAAAAGATTATATATTATAAATGTAGTGATATTTAAGTATTAATTGTATTGTTATCATACCTTATTAAGCACATTTTTTCTCATTTGCCGTGTAAAATAACGAGGTAACTCTTCATGAATTTTAGCCAACATGCGTGCTTTTAGTGTTTCATCTTGCTCGTTATTTGACATTTCATTTTCTCTCCATATGTAGTTAATTGTTCCCAAATAATTGCCCTGATAATATCTAAAAAGTCAAAATAAGTTTTATTTTAATATAAATCATATAAATCTTATTAGATAAAGATTTTTAATTCTAAAAAATCGAACACGAATATTTTTTGAAAAATCGTATTTTCAGCAAACTTTTCGGTATTGCTAAATTTTTTATATGAACCCCTTCAAATAACTATATTGTATGATGTATTTTGATGAAAAGAGTTCAAAAATTTCGGCAATAATTTCAGCAAATATGAAAATTAACTTTAGCACTATATAAGAATAATTTC